TTGACAACACATCGACCATGAGTGATATCTCAAGTAAAATCTTTTGTGTCTCTATGTTTGACAAAGAAATGCGCTGGATACTTGACACAGGAGCTTCATATCACATGATATATTCAACCAACCTACTTACTACAAAATTCAGTGTCACCAATCAAAAAGTTCACTTACCTAACGGGACTACTGCCACTGTCATGCACATAGGCAACATCCATTTTTCTGACTTCATTCCACAAAATGTTTTATGTGTCCCTTCCTTCAAATTAAATTTGATTTTTATTAGTAAATTTGTGCTTGATTCACAATGCCTTGTCATTTTTAATAACCACATTTGTGTGCTACAGGACCAACAATCGGGGAAGATGATTGGGACAGAAACTAAAAGAGGAGGAATCTACTACCTTGATACTCTACAAAAGAGCAAGTGCAATGTTGCTACTTCACCATCCAAAAATCTTTGGCATAAACGTCTAGGCTACCCATCGAATGAAGTTTCCATATTTTTTTTCTTCAATTATAGACAAGAAAATTTATAATATTTTTGATTGTTTAATTTGCCCATTAGCTATGTAAACTCGTTCAACTTTTCAAATAAGTTCCATTAGCTCAAAAATACCTTTTGAATTAATTCACGTTGACATTTGGGGAGGATACCAAGTTCCTTCAATCATAGCAACACGCTATTTTCTCACAATTGTTGATGATTATACTCGATGCACATGAACTTATTTGATGAACCATAAATTATATACACATTCATACATCATCAAGTTCATAAATCTTGTTGAAACACAATTCAATATAAAGGTCAAAATCATTCAAAGTGATAATTGTTATGAATTCATATTGAGGAATCTTTATCTCGACAAAGGCATCGTTCATCAATCCAGTTGTGTCTCCACTTAGCAACAAAATGGTGTAACTGAAAGAAAGCATCGCCACTTACTCAACATAGCCTGAGCCTTATTGTTTCAAGCTAATTTACCCAAAAAATTTTGGGGAGATGCAATCCTAACTGCCACCTTCCTAATAAACCGAACACCAACTCCCCTTCTCTAAGGAAAGACTCCTTTTGAAATGCTCTTCCAAACACAACCCACATATGATCATTTGCGTGTGTTTGGGTGTCTTTGTTTGTGTTTGGGTGTCTTTGTGTCTTTGTTTTGCTTCAACACATCATCAGTGACCAACTAAGTTTGATCCAAAAGTCATTCGATGTCTTTTCTTAGGTTATTCATACGCACAAAAAAGGGCTATAGAGTCTATGACCTTTCAACTGGGAAGGTTTTTGTATCACCGAATGTTTGTTTTCATGAAAACACTTTTCCTTCCCCTTCTTTCACTAAAGATAAAGGTGCAATTCTGCACTTCAGTACCCACATCGACATGCTTTCATTCGATGAATTACCTTAAGAGGATATTTCATCTTCTCAAGACAACAAAATCTCCTCTCAAGAGACTCCTTCAACTTCACTCACTCTAGATTTTTTCTCAGAATAACATGCTACTCCAGACCAAAAAATACCATCACCACGACCAATGAGAAAAACAAAAATTCCTAGCTATTTGTGTGAGTATCTTGTTGGTATTTCTCTTACCTCACGACCCCCCCCCCCCATTGACCTTTGCGTTGGCCAAACCTACATGTACAAAGCTACATGTACCCTCTATCCTTTAACCGACATCTTTTCATATGTTAGATTGTCACATAAACATCTTGCTTTTACCACCGCTCTTTCAATTGAAAAGGAGCCAAGCCCCTTTGCAGAAGCTGCTCGTAATCCAAAGCGGCAGGTTATTATACGAGAAGAACTTGACGCACTGAACGCCAATGACACATGGTCCTTTGTACCATTACCGCATGAGAAAAGGCCAATTGAATGCAAATGAGTATACAAAATCAAACTTCGTGTAGATGAGACAATTGAACGCTACAAGGCCAGATTAGTGGCAAAAGGGTAATATCAAATTGAAGGGCTAGATTACCAGAAAACCTTTGCCCTTGTAGCAAAGCTTGTAACTGTTCGCCTACTCCTCGTGTTAGCTTCAACCAAGTAATTATATCTCCACCAACTAGATGCCAATAATGCTTTCTTGCATGGGGACCTCGACGAAGACGTATATATGTCACTACCTCCTGACCTCAGATGAAAGGGGGAGACTCAAGTTTGTAAACTACACAAATCATTATATGGTCTAAAACATGCTTCATGACAAGCTTCATGACAATGATTCAACAAGCTTTCCCCTGCTTTAAAGCAAGTCAATTTATGCAATCAAAGGCTTACTATTCCATGTTCGTCTGATCCCATAATGATAAATTCATCGCCCTTCTTATATATGTAGATGATGTCATCATTGCAGGGAATGACTTACAAGAAATTGAATATGTCAAAATATTCTTGAGGAACCAATTTGAATTAAAGGACCTTGGAGAATTGAGATATTTCCTTGGTATTGAGGTTGCGCGGTCCCAAAAGGGTATTGTGCTTTCACAGCAAAAGTATGCTCTTGAAATACTCGAGGATGTTGGGTACCTCGGTGCAAAACCAACCACTTTTCCTATGGAACAAAACTTATCCCTTAGCAAATCAAAAGGAGAATATGTCAGTGATCCATCATCATACCGAAGACTAGTTGGGAGATTAATCTACTTGACTATCACACATCCTGACTTGACATATGCAGTTCATATCTTAAGCCAATTTATGGACATACCATGAGTGCCTAACTTAGAAGCAAATCATCGTGTTCTACGTCATGTAAAACAAACAACAACACAAGAAATTTTCCTCTTAGCAGAAAGCTCAACCCAACTAAATGTCATTTGCGATGCAGATTGGGCCAGGTGTCGTGACACTCGAAGATTAATTACTGGGTATTTTATCTTCCTTGGGAGTTCATTAATTTCTTGGAAAACCAAGAAACAAACCACAATATCACGTTCTAGTTCAGAAGCTGAATACCGGTCAATGACCGCTACCTGCTACGAGATTATTTGGCTAAGAACAGTTTTGCAGGATTTGGGGATCATGCATTCACATCCCGTCAATTTATTTTGTGATAACCAAGCAACACTGCACATCGTCTCGAACCTGGTATACCATGAGTGAACAAAACACATCGAGATTGATTGTCATCTCATATGGGAGAAAGTTCAAAAAGGAATAATAAAGTTGACTCATCTGTCTACTTTAGAACAACCAACAAACGTTTTTACAAAATTACTAAACTCTTCTCAATTTTCGATACTACTCAGCAAGTTAGAAATTATTAACATACATTCTCAAATTTGAGGGGGGAGTGTTAGGAGTTATAATAGGAAATAATTTATTTATGTAAGAAGTTATTATGAATAAATTCTTTCCTTAGAATTAAGGAGATATTTTTTTTTCTATTTTATATTTATTTCCTTGGATTAGGGATTATTTGTTTTCCTATTTTATGTTATTTACTACATCTCCTAACAATTAATATGAATTGATTATTGGAGATATTAGGTGATATATCTTTCTTTTCATATCATTTACTTTTTATTATTTTTCCTATTATAGGATTCTTGTAAGGGTTATTTATACCCCCTATTTATATCAATGAAACAATCAAATATTCAACTTTATTCCACATTATTTTGAATTTCAACAGATTTGTTAAGCCTAGTGAGATTTTTTTTAATTTTTCATTTGTGAGCAATCAAGGTTAATTTGGTTGATTCGATGGTGAAATGTTACTCAATCGTGATTCGTATTGGAATGTGCGTTGTCAAAGCATTCAGGATGCCCAAAAGATATTACAAAGTAAATTTAGAGCCGTAAATGAGTTTGCTTGTAGTAGTTATTAAATTTTCATGATAAGTATACTCCTTTTAGAGTTTAAGGAGTCTTGTGGGAGAAAAGATTGTTCATCACTTTTGGATAAAGGATGCACTCTTGGTTAACAAGTTTGAGGCATTCCTTCGATAGACAACATTCATCACAGAAAGCAATCATATCTTCTAAACTTAGAAGAAGAATTTTGAAAGAGCATCAAGCTTTCTGAGAGACGAAATGTTATGATGGAAAATTTTGATTTTTCTGTCAAGACTATACTCTTTGGATCCAACCATGGATAAGACATGGATTCCCCTTGAATTCAAGGATATAGTTCAAGGACAATCCTTGATGTGTTCTAGGAACAAAGAATGTTTTTATATTTAAATTTATATTATAACTAAATTTCATTCAATAAAAAGTAAAATTTTTCAAAAAATATTTTTACAATTGTTTTTAGTTGATAAATTGTCTTTATTATAAAAAGAAAAAAAAAACTAGAAAAACGAAGCCTTTCTTTCTCGTCCAAATAATATAATATAAATCTTGTAATCATTTTCATATTCTCCTCAAATATCAAAATTCTTGATAAAAGCTTAACATATATTATTTATTTTTATCTATTTTTAAAATATTTGTTCGTGGCTAGGGCTGTCAAAATGGCTCGTTGTTCGCGAACAGCTCGTGTTCGGCTCGTTTTGGCTTGAAATACTACTAATCAATTATATAGTATTTTAAAAAAAATTAATTGACTACAAAGCTAGAGAGATTTATAATCAATTAAAAGTATTAGTTAAGAAAATAAAATAAAAATTATTAAATTAGATTCAAATGATGTTTTAAATCTTGCCCCAATCTTTAACATCTTATGACTAGTGATTATGGTTGCCAAAATAACTCTTTATTCGTGAACGATTCACTAAGCAAACGAGCCGAACATGAACATACTTTTTGAGCTCGAAACATAAACTAATCGAGCACGAGCTGAGCATGAGCTCGCTCGTGTTCGACTGATTTACACCCATATTCTTGGCATACTTGCATGCATTAGTCCCGCATTGTAAAAAAAAAACCACACAGAAGTTAATTTTGTAAATATCAACATTTCAAATGCAGTTTTGAGTGATTACCCTTAATTTTATTTGAAATTGATGGAACCATTCAGTTTCTAATTATTAGAGAGCGAGCCACCCCTGTAACCGTATCCTCCCGTTCGGCTTCCTTGTCCCAAGCTTTCTTCATCGATCTCCGGTTACCGGTGCTCTCCATCGTCGCCGCCGATCTTCTGCTCCGCTCCGGCACGTCACTATACAGAATCAAGATTCTTATAATCTCTTTTTGTTTATCGCCTTCTTTCTTTCCTTTGGTGTGTTAGAGTGACCTTCATCTATGGATTCTCCGGGGTTGATGCTTCCTCCGTTTTCGATCACCGGCTAGATCTTTCCCTCCCATTTCACTATCTGCTTACCGAAGAAGGAGGGTGTGTAGAACAAAACACGGAGGCGAGGAAGGTCGGGTGGAAGAATAACAGGGGCAATCAAGGAACCTATAAATGCGTAGGAATGTAATACGTGATGTCTAAGAACGATTCGGCTTTGTCACGCTCCAACGTGGATATTTCGCGTTTCGGAGATGATACTGGATCTCAATGTGGCATCATTCACTAAGTCGTTGATGCAGAAGAAGCTCCTTCAAGAAGGAACTGACGTTAGCCAGATGGCTGATTCTGAGTCTTCGAACTCTTCCGTCCTCAACGCCGAAGATTCCAGCAACATATCTGATGAGGACGAGGCCTCAATTCGCCCGACCTTTCGGTTTGGTATCCTCAAGAATGCCACAGTGTCGGAAGAGGAAGTAGAGGAGATAAGACTCATTTCTGAGTCCCGCCTCGTTACTCATCAGCTTTTTCCGCAACAGCCGCAGGCTATTTCGGAGTGGCATCCGTTGTCCAGGCAGGGAGGACTTTACTTACTTCCATGCTGATGTGCCGGCCGCAGAGGAGGTTACGCTCCTTCATCCGCAGCAACAGCAGCTTCAGGTTAAGAAAAGCAGGCGGGGGCCGAGATCCCGCAGCTCCGCTTATCTGGGAGTCACATTTTACCGGAGAACAGGGAGATGGGAGTCTCACATCTGGTGGGTATCATATTTTATCCCATTCCTTAGTAGGTGTTCTTTGATTTTCTTAAATTTTTTACGAGTTTTCTTTTTGTGTTTCAGGGATTGTGGGAAACAAGTCTATTTGGGTACGAATACTTTTTTTCATATTTGTTTCATGCTGTGACGTGAATGAGATTAGGGATAAAGTTGCCTGAACATTTATTTTGGTGATGTTATTTCGATTGTTTCTACAGGGGGTTTTGATACTGCACATGATGCAGCCCGGTTAGCTATTTTTTTAATTTTTCATTTAGTTCAATTTTTTTTCTTAGATGTATCTTGTGGATAGATGAAGTCTAATTGATTTTTTCTTAGCAGGGCATATGATCGGGCTGCCGTTAAATTTCGTGGGCTTGACGCTGACATTAATTTCAGCCTTAGTGATTATGAGGAGGATTTGAAGCAGGTAAGAGTTTAAATGCTTACGTATTGAGCTGACTGTGTGATGATTCTTAATGTGGATATATGAGTTGTCTTCTTTACGAAATAACAGATGAGAAATTTGACGAAGGAGGAATTTGTGCACGTTCTTCGTCGCCAAAGCTCTGGATTGTCAAGAGGAAGCTCAAAATACAGCGGGGTTACCCGTCACAAGTTTGGTCGTTGGGAAGCTCGCGTGGGTCAATTACTCGGCCAGAAGTATGAGATATTTCCCAACATTTTTATTACTTCTTATTTTGGTAATCTAACTTGATTGTTTCTCTGTTTTTAGTTGTTAAGCTTGCAGTTAGAATATAAAAGCTAAGATGTATTGCCTCTAATTTAACATTAATATTTGATTTCTCACATAAAATTGTAGAAAAAACACGAGGGCAAGAAAACTCTTTCTTATTCATGGAATTATTACAAGAAAAGGCTATATATAGACCTATCTAGGAATGAAATAAGAAAGTAACTACTGATTAGAAAAAAATTGGTTCTGGTTTTATGGGATCTTGATTTTTTTTATTGCCATGAATTTGTTGAACCCTAATTTCCTCTGTCGGCACAAATCCATGAGATTCTAAGTTCCTTGTTTTGCATAAATTGTGGGATTTTGAATTTCTTAATATGAATTCATGGGGTTTGTTTTCTGTCTTTGGCATTAATTTGCTGGATTTAATTAAGAAGATTCATAACCTGTGCTTGCCTTCCAAAAATAATTAAATATGTGTTTATTTATTCAATTTTGGTGCTCAATCTAGATAAGCAAGTGCACAAAAGTAGTTTGGTTCTCCCTTTCGCGAGTTGTTGAAAAATTGGTTCTGGTTTTATGGGATCTTGATTTTTTAATTGGTTCTCACTTTTGCGAGTTGATCCTCAAACTATACATGTATTACACCAAATGTATTATTTTCAACTTCTCTCAAATAAGATAATAGTATATAACAATATGTTTAATCTGTGATTGAAGAAGGATGCACACTAAGATGAGTGATATCCATATTATCACAATAAATGACTGAGGCCTAAGGTGGATGGACAGTTTGATGAATAGGGAGAACACCTAACGGAATTTAGCTGTGGTGGCAATAAAGGAGCATTCAACTCATTAAAAAAGTGGGCTACAATACTTTTCTTTTTTATGGCACTTGAGGCCTTTTGTGCAAGCACAGTGTGGGTGCTTATAAAGATAAAATTATCATTATTACTTGCATGATCAGCTTTGGATGCTACATGATGAAAAATAATATTACAATCATTAGTGCCACATAAAATCATAGCAGTCATTTTGCTGTAGTCCAATGATTTGTATAGGTGGTTCAGTGTATAATTTGAGACAATTTATTCACCACGAAACCTATTACTACCCATGCCAATTTTATAATAAATCAGATCGGTGAGCACGAATCCAAAGTGTGAGCTCTGCGATGAAGCATGTGGTGCTATTATTGGAGTGGCAACCATTCTTAGTGTGAGCAAGGAGATAAATGACTTGCCAACATTGAGATAAGAGAAGTATGTATGGTTGCAGAACAACTACATCAAGAAACGGTGCAATGGTCCAGTATCTTTAATATAGAATCATTTGGCAAGAAAAGTGACAAAATTTTGCACAACAATATTACAATTACATATGATAATATCTGCCAACATAAACAAGAAAAAAATAGAAGGGTATTGCTTGTGTTTAGGACACTGAGAGGTGTCTCAGATAGAGAGTTGTTGAAACTAGAAGCATCATGAAATTATTATAGCTCATGGCTAGGAGGATCCGCTACTTGGCCCTGAGCAAATTAAATATACACCAATTGCAAAAAGAAGATGATACAGCACCCCTGAGAGCATAAAACAGAGAAAATTTCTCCAAACATAATGATAATAATCAAAAGACTACTAACCAGCAAAATAACAATCTATAAATAGTTCCTTAAAAGAAAATAACCTGTTTAGAAAATAGATGAATAGGAAATAAAAAAAAAAGAAGAAAAATTGTTGCAAATAGGAAATGAATAAAAGAAGGATTTTCCAGGCCCGTTAATCCTGCGATCACGTATTCCACATGTTGTGGAACTATGGGTTTGAAGGCTTGTGCCCGCTAGAAAAATCACGTCCTGTGTCATTCTCTTCGGATAGGAGCGGTTTCTTCTTCTTTGGAAGGACCTAGATCTTACTGTTGGTGTTCTTTCTCACAAAGCACCTAAGGAGATTTTCAAATTTGTTATTCAACACCCTTGTCGAATAAAGGTATAAAAATTGACCTGACATACCAACTTGACCTGAACTCAACTCAAAATCTAGATTTGGGTTAACCCGAATAATTTTTTAGGTCGGATTCAAGTAAAAAATCTTAACCCTGTTAATTTTTTGGAACAACTAATGTTGTCTTGGGATCGGTGTGAATCACTAGCATCTCTCCCTCCTTAGCTGCAAGCTGATACTTCTCTTTGGCTTTCTCATTCTCTTGTGTCACTGTCCATTTATTCAATTGCTCCATTCTCAATAAAAATTATCATTTTTTATACAATGTCCCCAAAACTGTGACACTAGAAACACTTTTTGGCTGGGATGTATCTAACAATACTGGTACTATTCAACTTTTCTCTATTATGTATGAATTTCTCCAATGGCAGGGTTGATTTCGTGTCTCCACTAGGTGTACTCTCTCTACATGATTTTGGGGTTGAACTTTGTCCGTAAATTGTGGCGTCACCTATTGATGTTGTTGTTTTTCTATCTTTAAAGCTGGGGTATGTATGTTAAGTAGGGACTAATATGGTTGTAGCTGGATCACATTACTGATAGATGATCTTTAGTACTCCAAAATATCTTGTCACTGTGTGCTCCTCTGGTTTCACTAACTCTTATTTCAATAAGAGTTGATCAATTAGCATTGCACTCCTTCATGTAAGAATCTCTTTGGCATAGGTTGTGAAGTTTTATGTATATATGCTGTCAGCAATGTGAAAGAAGGTATTTGCATTGTATTTCTTTTTTTCATCTTAAACAAAGTGTTGATCTTAAACTTATCTTTTTTGTTGTCAGAAATGCTTCAAATTCTCCCACTGCAAAGATTTATTATCCTTTGGCTTCATAGATGTTAACTTAACTCTTTTGTCATGTTGAACGTCTTTGTATTAAAATATTCATTTGATTGATTGGAGTCACTCGATAAACTCGTCCAGATTTATACGATCATTAAAATTTGACAAGCTACTTCAAGATCCTGGCTTATTCTTTGATATTCCATACCAAACTGTTGGGTATTGGTTATTCGTTGCTAGAAATTTCCCGATGGAAGGGATTTGCTTTCTCCACTGGAACTAGCGAGTCATCGTTGCGACTGTGGTTGATCTCACCAGATTGTCTCATCTCAAAGGCTATAAATATTAGTTACAATTGGAGGATTGTTCTTTGCATGCCTTTCACAATGAGCTTCTGAACATCTCATTGAGGGGTTCTCCTTGGCGGCATTACGCTTTGTTCTTCTAAATGGAAGGTTTGACAAAAAAATTGTGATTTAGGGTTAGGTTTAGGGCCAAGACTAAGTGGATGATATGAGAATTTTTATTGCGGTTAAGGTTTTATGAATTTTTGTATTATATGTATGAATGGCTAATTCCTAAAAGTTAGAGTTTGTTTGGTTGACAGAAATACAATATAAAATAAATGCAATGTAAGAGTAATGCATTATATTTGAAATACGTTTTGCTTCATTAAAAATAAAAAAATAAAATTTGAAGTAAAATAAAAATAATATATTTTAATGATAAAGTTAATGTGCTGGTGGCGGGTGCAGGTGGCTAATAATAGCGGCGCTGGCCATGACGACAACATTGAGGTGTGAATTTAAAAATTGGATGAATTTCAAATGTATAGAAAATGAACGAAGGGCTGTATTTCAAATGCATTGTTGTTTTACCTTGAATTTCAATTTTTTTTGAACAATTAGGAATGCGATGCACGGGAAATGCTTCCAACCAGGGTTTGTCCGTCTTTGATATCATATGATGTCATTCTAGGGCTCTTAGATGGTATTAGAGGACATAATAAGGCCTTAGGAATGTTGTAAGATGGATAGCGAGAGTGGAAGGAGGGATGGCGACTGAATTCTAGTGTGGATGTTGGGATGATAACAAAATGGAAATGGAAAAATGCTGCTTTCCTGCGGCCAACAACAATTTATGGCCATCAAAAAACATGCACAATGATCAAACAAAACAACAGGGTATGGTTGGCAAGAAGGATCCACCATATATTTCTGTGCAAATACATATATTACCATTTGCAAAAAGAAAAGAGAATACAACACTTTGGGGAGCATAAAATAGAGAAAATATTTCAAATACAAAATAGTAGTCGAAAGTCTGCTAAATATAAAATAACAACATATACATAGTTAGTTTGCTAAAAACAAATCACTTAATTTGAAAATAAAGGAATAGGAAAAAATCAGAAAATAAAGAAAAAAAAAAACTTGATGCAAATAGGAAATAAAAAAGAAACCAAATTCCTGGGCCTATTACTTCCACGATCATGAGATCCCTATGCCTCGAATCTACAGGGCGGAAGTCTCTTGCCATGGAAAAATTGCATCTCGTGTCAATAAGATGAGAGAGAGAGAGAGAGAGAGAGTACCTTCAGCAATATAACAATGATGCTTTTCAAAGTCTCCATTATGCTAAGGTAGAGACATCCGTTTGGAATGACAAGTTGGTTTTGGGTCTGACTCGAGGTTTGGAGCGATATATAAATTTATTATGGTGTATGAGTGAAGTCATGTAGAGCAAAGGAAGTCTAACACATGAATTTGGGAATAATTGGTAGGCGAGCTAAGTGGTCATTCATATGGAGAGGAGAGATGAAAACGAGGGTTGGGTAGACATTTTTTGAGGTAGGTTATCATAACAATAAGCTATGAGTCCAAATAGAAAATATAGTGGATGCTTGAGGCGAGAGAGAGAGAGAGAGAGACTACTTCCAACAATATAACAATGACTCTTTTCAAAGTATCCATTATGTTCATTTAGAGGCGTCAATTTGGATTGAGGCGGGAAGGGTTTGGGCCTAGCCAGTTGACTCAGCCAAAGTATGCTTGATTTAAATATTTTTTGTTTATTATATGAGTCAAAATATTTGACCGTAACCTTAACTTGAAGGTGACCTGACAGTCTATTTATTGTATGAGTTATATTTAGATCAACATGATTCAATTAACTCTAATATGACTTGTTTAACCTAATAAACCTATCTAACCTATACTCATATAATAATCAGATTAATTTTGGGCTCAATTGGGGTTAATTTTGTCAACCCAAATAGGACTAATAATAATTCAGTCTATAATTTTGATTTGAGCATGACTTGAATAGGAATTGCATGAACCTCAACTTAGATTTTTGCGACGGGTTGTTGATTTGGTTCAAATTTTTAATAGACCTAAGTTCAATTGTGTGATGGATTTTTTGCGATTTTAGATGTCACTTTTGGATTGAAATGCGTGAAGAGCTTGTCTTATTTGTATGGTCGAAGTATAAGTTGATTTTTGCGACTAACAAGATTTTTACTCAAGTGTGTTGTACTAAATAAATTGGTATGGTGAATGACAAAGATCAATGGCATGTAGGGATATAAATGAACCAATACACTTGATGAACAACTCGAACTATGCTCGATTAATACTGGATCTTGTTTGTTCAAATTACTAAATAAATATGTTTGAACATTTTTTAAAAACTCGGAGCTTAAATGAATCAAATTTGAACATAGTCCAACTTACAACTTACATGTTTATGAAAAAAATTATTTGTTGCCAACAGATAACTTGTTAAATGTTTTATACTTGTATGATATTTTATTTAGATAAAATTGGATTAATTAGAACATATTGAATAATATATTTAATAATAACATATTATAATTTAATATTAACATACCATAAATTCAAAGATTCTTTTTTTATATATTTTATTTCAATGAACTAGCTTGACATTAGTTATGTTATTTGATTGCAAAATATTTACAAATTATATAGTATTTTATTTACTTGGCATTAACTTGTTAAATTTCTAATTTGAAATCTATGTAATTACTTATTTATTGAGATTCATAAGATCACTTGTTGATAACCATATAAAAAATAAATACTTATTTAAATTTTAATTTATTTATTAGTTTTATATGAAGAATTATATACAAATCAAATGTTTAATTTTATTTGAAAAATTAAATGCTCATTCAAAATTTTTGCTTTTTAATTAATAAAAATAAGCCAAGTACAAATCAAAAGTATGAACATTAAAAAAATTAAGCAAGCTAAGCATAAACATATTTTTTAAGCTTGTCTCTAGCTTGAACGAACATAACCAACTTATGACTCAACCAAGCCAAGTCCAAACCATGACATAATCGATTTGGCTCGGCTAGATTACAACCCTAATGACATGGTATATAAAATTGATGACAATAATGGAGACAAAAAATGAATTTCTATAACTTTTATTGTATTGACAAATTATAATGGAGAGTTGATGACATTGAGGATGATAAAACTAGATTGAACATGGAAACATGAGAATTGAAAACTGCAGATAGCCTAATTTATGATGCCACCCAAATGATGGTTTTTCACACTATAGAAGGCAATAAGTGGAGGTCCTTAGATTGAAGAGACTAGGCATTCATTGATTGGGCTAGTTTAGTCATGGAGCAAGTTCTTGGATTGATTTGCAAATGTTATTATTGTCTTTATGGTGATTAGGTGAGTGTTATTGTGGTAAGAGGTTATTGTTGGGGTGTTGTTGTGGAAGAGAGTCCTTGGTGTGTTGTAGATGAAGTTGGGGGTATAGTGTGTTTTGTTTGGTATGGAGGTCATATATGGTGGCACTACAGATGGGGGTGTTGTGGCTTGTGTGCATGGAAGATGTCTTGGGGGGAAGGGTAGGTTGCCTGTCGGGAGGATACTATCTTGAGGTTGTCTTTATAGGTAAGGAAGGAGATGCAAAGGGAAAGATAGACTCAACAAAATATACATGATAATGAATAAATGTGGATGTGGTAGTGTTGAGGCTGTGACAAACACTTTGATTGCAAGTATAGTTGAGTAAAACACAAGGTTTGGAGTGAGATTTAAGTTTATTCATGGTGTATAGGTGAAGACATGGGTAACAAAGGCAATTGAGCACATGATGTTTGGAATAGTTGGGAGGCAAGCTAAGATGTTATTTATATGGAGAGAAGAAATGAGTTTGTTCGACAATTTATGCAGCAGTCTATCATGACAAAAACAAGATTTTAATCAAAAAATGACATGAATGCATAGTTAGGAGAGGGAAAGGGGGAGAGATAGAGACTACTTTCAACAATATAATAATGACTTTATAGATTATCTATTATGTTCGGAGAGGGATGTCAATTCAGCTTGATGGGTCAGGCTTGAGTCTATCCCAAAGTTGATCCAACCTGAATATGTTTGACTCGAACCCTTTAGGTCAAAATATTTTACTCTAACCTAACTCAATCAAACTTGACTTGCCAATCTATTTATTATATGAATCATATGATTTTTTGGGTCAATACAATTCAATTTAAATGAGCATGACACATTTAATTCAATTTGCCTGCCTATCCTGAACTTGAATAATTGTGTCAATTTCGAGTTGATATTGAGTTAATCGAGACAGCCTGAATTGGACAACAATAATAATTGGGTTTATAATTTTCACTCAAGCCAGACTCAGATAGTAATTGAGTCTACCCAAACTTGGATTGTTTGGATGGTTATTGAGTGAGGTATATTTTTGATATCTCTATATTTAGGTCAGTGATAGACAATTAAGATGATAGATGTCATTAGTTGATTGGAATGTGCTAAGAGCTTGATATTCATTTTGATTTTGTGAGTATGGAGACATTGTGAATATGAGATTTTTGCTTGAGTGGATAATACCAAATGTATTTTATGTAGTGAATGACTAAGTTGACATGATATTTAAAGTACTGAAGCTACAATAGTGGATGCAGAGAATAGACCTTTATGGCTTTTATTGCATTGACATGCATTGTAATAGATATTTGATAATATCAAAGCTGATAAATCTAGATTGAATTGTGAAATATGTGAATTGAAAAGAATGGATGGCCAAATTTTTTATGCCACTCAGACGAAGGGTGGTTTTGAGGTTAAAAATGACAATGAGTGGAGATTAGTGGAGTGGCGAGACTAGCCATTCATAGTCACCATCTTTAGTTTGCCCCTTCATGAGGATTTCACTTGTGCTTACATCCTTCACATGGAAAATGGTGGTAGGAATTAATAGTTACATGGTCACAAAAAAAAAGTTATATGAAATAAAGTTTTTTTATTCTTGTACTATTGGATACACAAAGACATTATTTGAAGGAAAATGCGTGAGATGTAGAAGATAAAGAGCTTTAACCAATGTGGGTTATGGGTCAATTCATGCCATATCCAATCATATAACATTACCAAGGTCGTTACACAAAGTATGTAGTGAGAGATTACCAAAGTAGGCAATGATGTCGTGAGAAGCACCACTATCTAGCAACCATATGGAAATGGTTAAGTGTTGTTGGTAGCATAATAGGCTTTTGGCTTTCTTGATTTATGTGGATGAGACACTTGAGATCTTGTTGCTTGTTAATGCAAGTCATTAACAGATTTAGAGTCAAGCTTTTGAAAAGCGTAGCATATTTTGATTGTGTGATCCTGAATGCTATTTGCAGACAAATCATTGCTGCTAATTTGAGAAAGCGGCCAAGTAGTATCACAGGGAGATAATAATGCTAACAATAGGGGCTGGTTACACTGGGAGATGGCTAGAGGCAGTAGCGACACTAGGATGGGACTAGCAGTGCAATTGATGTGATCTTTATTTTTTTAATAAAGAGGATAGAGAGAGAAAGACACTGTGAGAGGTGGAAGAGCTAGACCAAGGCTCTAATATCATGTAAAAAATGAAATGGGAAAAAATATTTCTTTGTTATGGCCAAAACATTTGATACGAAGCAATATATAGACTAATTTTGGAATGAAATAAGAAAATGATTAAAAAATTAAATATAGGTTTTGGATTCGTGGATCTTGATTTCCTTCTTTGGCATGAATTTGTTAAATTTTGATTTCCTTGGCACGAATCTATGGGATATTGATTTATTTTTTCTGCATGAATACATGATATCCTAATTTTCATGTCATGAGTGTACGTGACCTTCTTTTTTATCTTTTGCATTAATATGTGGGCCTTCATTATTAAGAAAATTCATAACCTATATATGCCTACCAACACTAATTAATTGAGCATCTAATATTTGTTCCTTTACGAAAGGCCTCCCGACTAGTTTGAAGGAGGCACAGAACTTTAAGAAAACCAGTTTTTACTATTGAGAACCCAATGCTTGCATGCAGGTATGTATAAGTTGGGTTATTTGACGGGGAATTGAAAACTGCAAGGTTCATCAAAGCATGGAATTTATTGATCATTGAATTTCCTTAGAGTTGTTACCGTCTATCCGGTTGTTCAGATATAAAACACCTCCCTTTTTTTTTTTTTTTTTTTTTTTTTTTTTTTTTTTGCTTTACGGACACCAGGGTGCATGATAAAGCTGCTATAACATGTAAAGGGAAGGAAGCTGTCGCTAATTTTCAGCAACACGCTTACGGAGATCTTCCCAGGGATGATGTTGAAGGTGTTGGCCTAGATATTATGTTGCTTTATATAGTTAAGAATTGCACGCTTTTTTGTTCTTTTTTATACATAATTCACTGCTAGTTGAAAACGTTGTTGGTGATCTAACTCAATGAAACAGATTTTGGTCATGGCATTGACTTGAATTTAAGTATCTCCCAGCCTACCGTCTGTAGTCCAAAAGGAAATGTTAATGTAGTGGACCAACTCTTGTACTATGGCTCATTTGAGGCTTCTAATCATGTCAAGCAAATGCCAGTAAGTAACTTGATATCATGGATTTCGTTAGCAATGCATTAGTCTGTTATTTATTTGGTTCATAAGAACTAGCAGAAGCACTCTTCCTCTTTATAGTTACATTTTTTGGAGAAAATTAAGGGGGCATTTATATAAATACCACACAATTATTATATATTTACATATCTAACCCTAGGCTTTCATTTGTATATGTATAACACTCAAAATTTTAATATCATAGAAAAAAACCACTATAACTAACTTTTTAAAAGTGAAATACCCCTTTTCATGCAAAGGTTTATGGCACCATTGTACATGTAAATTTCAAATTTTAGGTGTTAGATATTTAAATACATAAGAATTGTAAGGCACGCTTGTAAATTTCCCCAAAGTTAAAAAAAAAAGAAGAAAAGAAAATAATTCTCTTTACTGTCTAGTTTGAAGTTTGATGTTGTAATGTCCTATAGAAATACAAAGAGTGTTTGATGATTGATCTGATGTTGTCAATTGTTCTTTTCTTTATTAGTTCTGTGTTACACCTGTTAGGCTGTCTGTCCAAGCAGAACTCCCTTCTCACCCATACGCCGATCGGTTTAATAGGAGAGGGTGGAAACTCTTGGTCCAACTGTAGAGGATTTCTCCTTCATAGTGGGGCCCACCAACACTCTAATCACGTACGCAAGGAGAGAAAATTAAGAGGATTTTTTGGGGGAAGAGTTTGGAAAGGGTCTTAGAGAGTATTTAGGAGGGCCAATTGTCTAGGGTTCGTTTTATGTTATATTTGTTGTAGTTTTTTTTCTTGTGGTGATTCTAGCGACGTCCAGGGTTTGTGAAGAGACGATCTACCTCTCAAACAGTAGATCAACATCGAATCTTGTTTGTTTTCGTTGGTATTAGTAAAATTAGCCCTCGATGGAGTTTCCCCACCTCTCACAATTCTTTTGTTGTTTGTTCGTTGTTTTTGGTCTCGGATCGTATCAAATTGGCATTAGATCGAGATCTTGAAGGAATGACAATGAAGAAAGTGGATGCAGTGGAAGAAGTATGACAAATTAGATAGGGAATGGCGGAAATGTTAGCTATCATGGAGGATAGGTTTTCTTCCATAAAGAATCAAATGGATGATCGATTTTGGAGCATAGAGGAAACGTTGAAAAGACCTCTGGAGATGCAATCCAAGAATTCACCGACGATTCAAATTGCAAACCCTAACCAAGGGTTAATCAGAGAATTCTTGGTCGAATCGAAAGGGAATGAAATCAAACAAGAGGGCGACGAGGAGGAAAGCGCCTACAATGCTCTGACTCAGGAGGGGACATTCACAAAATACATGGAGAAGCTCGAGTACTTGTCGGGGCGGTTGAGAGGTATTTCTACAGCATGACTGAAGGGAAAGTTCTTGTTGGCCTTGAAGTCCGACATCCGAGCAGCCCTTCGACCTTTGAAACCGTGGGGATTGAGGGAGATGATGAAGCTCACTTAGATGATGGATTACAAAAAAATATTTGAAGATGACTAGCAAAGGCAGCACCTTGGGGGGATTCTACAAAACTGTCTCGATGGCCAAGCCACCAAGGATCCAAATGGTGTCATTTTAGAAAGAGACATCGAAGGAGAAAAATGTGGGGACCCATTCTGGGGGCTATTTCAAGCGCCTTACCGATGCGGAACTGCAGGATAAAAGAGCGTAATGATTATGTTTCCTATGTGACGAGAAATAAGCCCCGGTGCACCGTTGCAAGGAGCGCATGCTACAAGTCCTTGTAGTTAGTGAGGAGGAGATAGATAGTGAGGAGTAGCAGGAAGACACAATGGAGGAAGAGGAGTATTTGCACTTCAATGTTGTGGAGGTGTCCCTCAATTCAGTGGTAGGATTTACGCTGAATTACGCTTGATAGTGATGGGACATATGAGGGAGTAGCCGATTGTGGTGTTGGTAAATAGTGGAGCCACACATGATTTCATTTCAAATCAGGTTATGGATCATCTAGGGTTGGAGTTGGTAGATACAGGGAGTTTTGGTGTCATGATGGGGACATGGAATGTGGAGAAAAATTGAAAATTTTTCAAAGGAGCAGCTCTGACACAACAGGGCTTACGAGCGGTAGAGGACTTTTTTCCCCAGGACTTGAGTATCATTGATGTGATTTTGGGATTGAAGTGGCTACAAACTCTTGGGGAGACGAAAGTGGATTGAAAATCGCTGACAACGAAGCTCAAGGTGTAGGGTAGGAATGTGGTGTTGCCATGCAAAATCATTGTCTTGCTCAAAACCATGGTCAAGACGATGTGGGGAGCAATGTTAAGTTATTTGGTTGAGTTGCAGAGCATAAAGGAGATTTGGGGTCCCGAGTCAGAAGAGTTTCTTGATGCATTTCAGCAATCGAGCGATTTACCACCATCGAGGGAGCACGAGCATGTCATTCACAAAAAGGAGGATGTTCATCATATTAGTGTCAGACCGTAGCAATATCCTCATATTTAGAAGGATGTGATATAAAAGTTGATCCAAGAGATGCTTGAAGAAGGAATTATCAGGTCCAGTATGAGCCTCTTTACCAATCCATTCCTATTAATGAAGAAAAAATGGTAGTTGGAGATTTTGCATGGACTGCCTGACTTTGAACAAGGAGACTGTGTTAGGTAAGTTTCATATCCCAATGATTGATGAGCTGCTAGATGAGCTTTATGGGGCAACCATCTTCTCGAAAGTCGAACTTAAGTTAGATACCACCAGATTAGGATAAATCCAACGAATGTGTACTAGACAACATTCATGACACATGAAGGACATTACGAGTTCTTTGTAATGTTGTTTGGCCTCACCAACGCCCGAACCACATTTCAATCCCTCATGAATATGATTTTTCAACCTTACCTCAGGAAATTCGTCCTAGTCTTGTTCGATGACATTCTAATCTACATTTGTACAAAGACAGCATATGGGGCACTTGAGGACAGTCCTCAAGATGATGAGACAGCACCAATTGTACATTAATTTGAAGAAATATTCTTTTGCACAGTTACAGGTGGAGTACCTAAGGCACGTGGTGACCAGGGAA